TTGAACTCTTAGATGTTTAGTTTACTCTTATATTTGGTTTGTCCAATAACAGGAGATAGCAAATCCCCTGAAAAAAACAGTGAAGTTTCTGCTGTGGAAGTTGGACGAACATCTGAAAAGACAGTTGATATAATAACTGCTACTTCTAAAGTGCCTGTTAAACCACTGGAGAAAACAAATTCTGTATTGGAATTCAAAAATGTCAAGTCCAGCTCAACTAAGGTTCCTTCACAATGGATCCCAAATGAAGCCTGGTTGCAGGTGTGTAACTAAAAGTATCTCGTTATAATTTAAATTTTCTTATTTAATTACTTAAATCAATTTGGGAAATTCAGTAATTCTATCTCCATACTGATCATTCTCAATATCTTTTTCTGATTTTGAATATATTGTGACAAATTATCTGAAATAAAAACTTTTAGTGATCATTTGATGGCAATTCTCTCAATTCCTAGATCTGGGAAGCTATAATATACTCATGATTTTTTTTTTTTTTCACTTTCTTATTTCTCTCCAAATTTTATCTTATCACAGGACGAACGAGAGCTTAAACGGGAGAGGAGAAAACAGTCCAATCGAGAATCTGCTCGAAGATCGCGCCTCAGGAAACAGGTTAGTTAGTTATAGCTGCACACTGATTTTCCTTTTAATCTTTCTTTATTCAACTCTTGTTACTTTTGTCATAATTATACTCCATTCAACTTTTTTACTTGTCTCAGGCGGAGACTGAGGAACTAGCTGTCAAGGTGCAGTCACTAACTGCTGAGAATATCTCCCTCAAAGCCGAGATCAATAAATTAATGGAAAGCTCTGAGCACATGAAGCTTGAAAATGCCGCCCTCTTGGTATCTTTTTTTGCAAAAAATAAAAAATAAAAAATAAAATCTCATTTTCTTTCCAAAAACAGAACATCCTTCGACATTGTGAAACACCGCGTGATGTTTGTTTTTGATGTAGTTGTTTTTGTTTGTTTGTAACATGTGCAAAAATGTAAATGGACATAAATTTGCAGGAGAAATTAAAAGAAAAGGATATCGAGCTCACGAATATCGAGGGCAAGAGGGTAAAAAAACCGTTTGGGACAGTCCACCTTCTCGCGAAAGTCGACAACTCTGACTCAGATGGAGTCGACCCGCACGAGAATCGAAGCCCACGGGCCAAGCTCCGTCATGCCATAGCTGCCATTTGATCCTCTTGCCTATTTTTTTCTAACAACTTTTCTAACAACAGAAGTAATATGGAGTGTTGTGATTATATTAACCTAGTATTCGACCTTGTGCATTTGCACAGATGTAAATAAAATTAAATATTATAAGTTATATTTATGTATATAATATAAAAATTATAAGTTATATAATTGTATTATATTTCAAACATATAGTATTATAAGTTATATTTATGTATATAATATTAAAATTATAAATTATATAATAGTATTATATTTTAAAATTTGATCATTGGTTAAAATAAATAGTACACACGATTTGATTGTATACGAATCACTATATTGATTGCATAAAATGCAATAAATATATACTTTTTTATAATTTTGAGTGATCATGACCAATTAATTAGCTGAAAAATATTACATTTATTATAACAATTGCTTATGTGATTTTAAGAAAATTTATTATGACATAAAAAAAATTAATTTATTAATAAACAACATCTTCATCATATAAAAAAATATTGATTTTAGTGTAAAATATAATTTTATGTATCTTTCATATATTATTTAGTATAAAATATAATTAATAATTCTAATATTAACTATTATATTATTCAATAAAAAATATAATTAATAATCCATTAACATAAAATGTAATGGTTTTTGTCTTAATTAACCCAAAAAATGTAATGAAATATTTTCTTATTAATGAGATTGAGTGTATTAATGCCACATAAATAATATTTATTAGGTTATATTTATTAGGTTTTATTAATAATTTGCCACACAGGTAAAATTTATTAGGTTTTATTTATTAAGTAAAATTTATTGCTTAGCTAGCAATTATATATATATAGATTATTAATCTCTCCCGGTAAAACCTGGAATGTGTAACCTTTGATGTTCGGGTTGCTGGGGATGCTGCATTTAACTACTTGGTATACGGTATTTTTAGGGAAAAAAAAAAAGGAAAAAACAAAGAAAATGGAGTGTCAGATATATACTAATAATGGAGTGTGATATACTAATAGTGCTGGTGAAGTATTTGTTGTGCTATTTGAGGTCCTTTGAGTTTTTTTAACGAGGACATGTACCGTGATTTTAGTAATGTAATGTAATTTGATTTGCACAGTGAATAAAAATAAACTCGTCCTGAGTTTAATTTTATGTTGGGCCTGTAGTTTATCTTGTTATAGAATCAGTGTTTCAAATACACGGAATTGAACTTATGAACTGAAGTTGATGTTTTCGGTTCTTACAATTTAAACTAAAAAATAGAAAATAAATGTACAACTTAAGTGCGGACAGATTAAAGCCAAGGTGATTGTAATTTTTTTTGCAAGGCAAATGCGCTTTGTGTAGTGTTAATGGGTCTATGTGTTTTATCCCTAAAGATACAATGGCTGACGTTTTGAAGGCTATAAGCACGCCAACTTTAGCGTTTCGACGAACTTGAACGGAGTTGAGAATTTGAGCAGTATGCATATGCGTGAGGCTATGAGAGTGCAAGGATGTATAGGAGATGATAAGTGTCTTTCTGCAACTCTAAACAAGTCCTATATATAAGACTTCTAGTCAGCAGGGGATGATCTTTGGTCTTCAGTCACTTAAAGCATGAAACAACCAACTAGTGGTTGCTGTAAGTGGGCATAAAACAGTCATGTGAAAAGCCTTTCGTTTTCATGTGTTAACACTCCATTAATCCACCTGATAACCACTGAAACAGTCAGGTGAAAGGTCCCAAGTCCCAAAGCTCAGGTCAAGATCCGTGCTCGTGTCGAGCCGAGCAGGCGCGCGCGCGTATGGCCGAAGCCAACACCAACACCAACAATTAGTGCATAACTTTTTTGTTGTTGTAACCTTTCCGACTCTCCATATTATAATAAAGAGTTAATCTCATTAAGAGTCCAGCGTGAGAATGACTTTTGATCCATTCGCCACAATCATCGTTTTACGTGTCCAATTAGGGCAAATTTTAATTGTTTATTTCTTACTCATTGGAAATAAGTTTTGATAAAATAAATATACTACGATTATCTACTCGAAACATAGAATTTTTCTACACAATTTATTTCAACTCGAATTAAAGATTTAGTCATAAAAAAAATCAGTCAAAACCGGGTCAAACCCAAGTTTTATAACTGATTTTTCGAACAATATCTTGTGTATACAATAAGAGAAATAGTTAATAGAAATTGGTCCTTTTACATTTTTGCTACAGTTTTTCAATTTTTTTTATTTACAAAAATAAGACATTAATAATTAAATCATATATAAATCATTTATACATGAGTCAAAAATAGAATAAAAGAACCCAGTTCTAAAATTAATAATAAAAATAAATTACAAATGAGTCAAAAAATAGAATTGAAACCAAAGTAAAAATAAATTACAAATGAGTCAAAAATAGAAAAAAAAAACGCAATTCGAAATAATCAATAATTAAAAGAAATGCCAAATCAATCATTTATAAACTGTGAAATTTAGTATTATCGCAATTAAAAATTAAATATCACTAAATGTGCATATGAAAAGAGTTTTGTAAGTGAATGATGTAATTTTCTCAAATTGAAGGCTAACTTGTGCTGAGTCTTTAAGAAATAGTTCATAGAAATTGGTAAGCATAACTTGTGTTGGGTCATTATACAAGAGATCTATTGAGATTCTTCATTTTCCTCCATTTTTAAGTTAATACAACAATTAGAGTTCCAAATGTAAGCTCTAAGTGAGAGCAAAAAAAGTGTAGATAATTTTTTTTTTTAAAAAAAGGATGAAATTTAGATTGCAAATGAAATAATAAATAAAAATAATAATTTAAATTGACATAGTATAAAAATAATAAAATATTAATTGATAAGATTGATAATTAAAAATATACAATGGCTGATAAGTAATTTTTGTTGGAAAAAATATATGATGATGAATAATAATTATATTTTAATTGTGGTAATAGGATTATAGAGAAAAAAATGGGATGAAATTAATCAATTATTTTTTTATAGTAATTTCCTTTTACTTTATTCTCAGTTTCATTGAGCTAAACCTAAACTGTGCATGTCTGAACAACTAAAATACAGATGACTCAAATGCAAGATCAGTTTCTTACAAGAAATACCATCAAACACGTACGCACAAATTAAAGGGAAAAACAATAATCAAACAATTACTGATTTTTATTTATTTTTTTCTTTCTCATCAGGTGTATCAGTCAACAATTAATGGTATGAGAATTGAATTTTGAGCCATCTTATCTTATCATTACATCTTTATCTATCTATCTTTTGCTTGGGCTACAGCCTACATAGACAATCCACTGGGCATCTTGGATTCTCGGCTCTTTGTCTCCTTTTCTGCACGTGACTCTCACTTAATTTGTTTGCCCAACTTTTTTAACACGTGAGTATTTATTTTTATATCATTTCTTGATTTTATTCCTCCACCTAAAATTTCAAAAAGTTTGATATGTTTGGACCTGATGGTTCAATAATTGAAACAATTTTACTCTAGAAATTGATCACCGATGGAAGGGATAATTTCCTCGTAGTTTCGAAATTGACTATTGAGATGAAATGTGATTACTGATTAGGAATGTGAGAAGGAGAGCCATTTTCTTGTGCTTTTCGGATGAAATAAGGACCACTGAAGTTGATAATGACAATCATCACCTGATTCAGTAATAAGATTCAACAATATTCTTTTTCTTGTTTTTATCAAAAATTACATATTTGAATTTTGAAGTCTTAATGTCACTCTAGATACATTTGAACGTAACCTAGTCTTTATTTAATTTTTTTTTTCTAGTTGGTTTGTAGAAAATGGGTACAAGGAATTGATGGTTCAAGGAATTTTTTTTTCCTCATTGATATTTTTCATTTTCTTTATTTTTCTCTCTTTTTTTTTTTCTTTTTTATTTTTTTTTTCCCACAATTGAAAACCCTATAATTCACAAACATTAGGGAACTCAAATGATGCCTCTACAGATTGGATTTGAGAAAGCAAGTTGGATATTATAAGAGTCTAAGACTATATTTATCCACAACCCAATCCAACTCAACCCAACTCAATAATAAAAAATTATTTCTCTCTCCTCTACCTACACAACTCAACTTATAACAACCTATATATCTTTATCCCCAACCCAACTCAACCCAACCCAACTCAACTCAATCCAACATAATATTTATTTATTTTTATTTATTTATTAAATATTATTTACAATACATTTTTTGGTATTGTTTTATTTACAATCCAAACCAATATAATAATTTCAATTGTGTTCCAAAACATATTAAGAGTGGTCTCTATTGTAGAGAATGAAAAATACGAATTATTATATTTTTTATTTTATTTTTTAATATAAAATAATATCAATAATTTGAGTTATACTTATCTCATCATATAAAATTAATAGTGTCCAGTGGAAATGGGACAAGTGTCCAATTCTCTCTCCCTTTATCCAAAAAGAATGAAAAAAAACGAAAAAAACACAAGAGGATGCGGCCGAGTTGCGACCCAAAGGTCACATTGTCACCTGAGTCGCCAAATTTCTGCCATTTTCTTTTTTTTCTTTTTTTTTTCTATTTTCTTTTTATACTTTTTTTTGTCTTTTTCCCAACTTATGGGTCACCAATAAGGATGGTCTAATTACACTCGAACCAGTACGACGACCTCAATTGGGAAGACTGAAGCCTTGGTGGTGAGGTTTACCGCACCTATGACAGATGAGAAAAGCCTCACCTTCGAGGGCCTCTTCAACCCCTATGATGACGGAGTTGGTGACGTCAATATGGAATTCCTTACCCATACTCACCCCACGCCCTGCTTTGTCCTGTGCACAAACATCTTCCAATAAAGTGAGCAATAACGTATATGAGCGTTTTTTTATAAAAGAAGATATATTTTTGTTTGAGTGACAGATCATTTGCAGTAATTACAATGTTGGAAATAATTTTATTTGGTTTCATTTGAGTAGAGTTGTTGTTCTATCCAGAAGAATTGTTGCGAATTAAAATTCACTTGCTTGCTTCAAATTATAACTCACTTAGGAGTTCATCTTCTTTCTGTTAGGATCTGTGAGGATCTCGATAATATACATGTCACGGACATTCTACGAATTAAACCCTAAGTGCAGCGGAACTAGAAGCGAGGGTTCAACGTGTACCCTTTTTTTAATATTTTGCCGACTCATCGAATCGTTCACCGACCATATCGGATCGTCCCGGACTCATCGCGGACTCATAAGAACTCCACGAACCCGTCGGACTGCAGCTGGATCGTCCCTGGATCACCTGGTCCGAGCTGGGCCGCTGCTGGCGCGTTCTGGGTTCGCTGGGACGTCCTGGGCCGCTTATCTGTGCTGCTGGGCCGCGCTAGGTGAACAACTGGGTCAGACGGACGCATCTGGGCTGCGTGGAAGTGGGCCGGAGGAACGCGCCGGCCGGAAACGGGCTGGAGCAGGCTGGAGCAGAGGGGAAACGTGGGCCGTGCACGGGCTGGGGTCGGGCGCGGGCTGGAGCTAAGAGAGGCTTCGGGCCTCGCGGACTGAGCGTGGGCTTGCGGCCCGCGCGCCCTTTTCCTCTCCTGCTGGGCCGCCTTGCACGTTGGGCCACACGCGTTGGGCTTCCACGCACTTGGGCCGTGCGCGAGCGGGCTTATCCACACAGGCTGCGCGTCTGGACTTCGATGGGGCTCTCCTTGGGCCTCGCGGGCTGGCGTCTGGACCGGTGGAATGGGCAGGTGTGCTGAGCCGCAACCCCAACGGTTGCTGGCCGCGCCTGCGGATTGTCAGGGCTCGCCTGGCCGGCCACCTTGCCGTAATGTCGCCGGAACTTGACCGGAGGGTCGTCGGCTCGCCGTGGGATGGTTGCCAGATAATTCCAATACATCCTGTATGCATAAAAAATATTATCCCTTTTGTGAAGAACGATCAACCCCGCGAATTATAGATAAATTATGAGGTTGAATATATATATCTTATGGGGTTGGATAAATATATATAAATCACTCGAAAACCTCAGATCTTCTGTTGTATGACCCGACATCTACTCCGATCATCTTGGTGGGTCATGAAATCAGAGATATCTCCACTACATTACTTGGAGAAGAAGAAGAGAACACAAGAGAGAAAAGGACACAAGGGGGCGGCGTTCGTTTCTTACTCACGTGAATAATGGATTCTCCTCCTAATCCCAAGAGATGTGATGTATTCATAAGCTACAACAAGACCCGGAGGTATTAATTTGGGTTTCTCCTATTTGGATTGGATATAGGCCAAACCTACCAAATCCAAATAGGAATAATACATCCATTCCACTAAAGTAGTATTATTAAATAAACTTCCAATTTAATTTCCGAATTATATTCAAGACTCCAATAAAAATTACTCGATTTATCTCCCTGTGTTTAAGATATAATGTTCATCAATTAATTTAATTACTGACAATTATTAAATTAATTGACATCTATGACCGAGACTAGTACCACTCATCACATTATTATTAGGTCGAAATAAATTTCACTAGCCAGATTTAACATAATAATCCTAGAGCTCATATCGGGGACATCATCAAACTATCGCACACGGTGGCCGTAAATATTCTAACAGCACATCGTACATACAATATTATTACCCAAAACGGTAAGTATATTGATCCAGTAAACTGAATCTCACCCAAGTGAATCAAAGTAAAATTTACTACATGCACATGCCTGTTTATATCTTATGGGTTAAGAGTACGCATTAATTAACCGAAACTAGTTCGTTTACGACGATCAGTATAAAACGAACTTCTCCTCTCTGGGATCTGTTCAATACACAAAGTGTACTAGTGTAACTAATCAGTCAGGACCAACTGTACGGTTAACACTACAACCGTTCACGATAGATTGTTTATTTCTATCTAGGTTGTGAACCAACGATTCTTGTTTCGTAAGTGACTGATAAAATGATCTACTGTTCACTCGATGATGAACCATCTTATCTAAATGCAAAACTGTTTAATTGAACATTATTCTAATTCAAACGGATTAAGTGAAAATACTTCTAAAGCCAAATAGCCTTTTTAATGAATTTACGCGCACATGATGCACGTGACCTTTCCTCCGGTGTGGTTCGTCTTTAGTTTTGGCATGATTTCTGAACTTGGCCCGATGGCTCGAGTTGGGCTGATTTTTGGGAAGTTGTACCTTTTCCCTATTTTCATAAATTAAAACTTCGACCCTTTGTACGTACCCAGTACCCTTTAACACGTATCTCCCACATTCTTCTTCCCTACAGAAAAACAATAAAATGTAGAGACATTGCTTTTTTCCTTTTTAAATTCAGTTCTCTTTATTTTTTTTTTCCCTTCACATGATGTTTCGTTTCCTCATTCAAGACATCCCGTTTTTCCACATTCCTGCTTGCTATCACAGGTTCAGTTACTCTGTAAAATTGTTGTTTTTTTGAATATTAACTACAGTTACTGGTGATGCTTAATAGACTGGACCGTACAATGTGTAAAGTTCTTTATATTTTTTTTTTCTCTTTTATTTTGTCCTCTTTATGTTCTTTGTTGGTTGTCTACTTGTTTCTTTAAAATGGGCTTTTTTGAATCTGAATGTTTTATGTGNCCTTTCTAATCTTTTCTGGACATTTTGTTGTGGTTGAGAGAGAGTAAGGCTGACCATTTTCTCAGGTTTTCTTCTCTGAATTTAGTTAATCTTTAAGTTTGACACTGTTCTTGGGTTTGCCTCAGGTTTTAATGGGAATACTGTTTTGTGTGGGATTGCTATATTATTTTGATTAGAGAATAAGTTCTTTGGTGGTATAATGTGAAATGTGAATCCTATTGAATGCAATCTTATGGTGGTACAGGGATACTTTATTATCATCATTATAATCATCATCATATTTCATCAATTTCGGGGTCAAGGGGGTTTCTAGAATCTGAGGGCGCACGCCAATGAGGGCAGCATCGGAAATGTTGAAAAATCGGTTATGAAAATTTGGCTTCAGTTCCCCATTAACATTAACCAAGCAAGGTGTTGGAAATCGTAGAACGGTCAGCTGTCAAAGTGACACTTGTTCGTTTTTCGTCAACACGGAGTGAAATCAGATTTGGCGAGTTTATTATATTTAGCAACTCGAGAGTAAACAAATCAAACATTTTTTTTTATATGTTTTAAAGAATGGGGCATCCTGCTGCTGTTTGGGACCATAAGGCTTCACTTGAGTTGACTAAAGATTGGAATGGGATTGAGCAAGTTGTGCTTAGGAATCCACGTGGGGCATCGGCAAGAGTAAGATCATTATACTAATTGTTATTTATGCGGCATTTCTTATGTATAGAAATTCTAATATTTTGTTCGATTTAATTGTCTTTCCATCGGTCGTAAGATAATTTCTGATTTTGGTCTGATTAGATCTACATAGTTTGAGACGGGATTTTTTCCTAAAATGTTCTTGTTTATTGTGAATTCGGTGAACATCTAGGTAAGTCTGCATGGAGGGCAAGTTATCTCATGGAGGAATGATAGAGGGGAAGAACTTCTTTTCACTAGTACTAAGGTGTGGTGTATGTCCTAATTTCACACAATTCTTTCCTCGATTTTTTGATTTATTATATATTGATGTTTTGCAACTTAGGAGATCCAAGAGGATAGATTTTTCTTTCAACTTGGAGTGTTTACATGAAAAAATAAATTTTACAATAGATTATCTCTGTTCTGTTGATGTCAGATCATGGTAATAAGTTTATATGACCAAGCTATAAATCTGTATACCTTTTGGCAAATTAAATATGTTGCACTTGTGTGTTTATTGTCAAATCTCATGCATTTATACATGTTATAACTATTTGTTTTGGGGCTAATCCATAGTTATTAACAATACAGTGAGCACAGATACTGTTTTACCTGCTTAACTTCTATGTCATATATATAGAAGCTGTTTGAGCATCTTCTTATGAGTGAAACTTTAGTAGCTTGGGAGCAATTTAAATTAAGAAAATTTGCTTGAATTTCTGTTAGGGACATGATAACATGTATATGTGTAGCAAATGAAACAAATATCATACAGACCTTCAATGCTAGTTTAATCGAGAACTTAATCTTTGATATCTATTTTTTCATTCCATTTAAAAAAATGATGATGAAATGTCGGATGTTGGTTTTTTAATATAATTGCAGGCTATATTCAAGTCTCCAAAAGCAATGCGGGGAGGAATTTCAGTTTGCTTTCCACAGGTATACCATTGCTTATTTTTTTTATATATTTCTATGTGTTAATGAGGTTACTTCCCATGGTATTAATTTCAAAATTCTGTACTAACAAATCTATTGAGAGCTTGTTTGTGTAAATACCATAATACAATGCATTTGTACTTTCTTGAATTCCCTACTGATTTTTTTTTTTTTAAAGGAAAATTACTATTGTGGATTTCTTTTCAATCCTATCTTCCACGAAGCCATTTAAAATCCTCTCCTCGAAACCAAATTCCTTTTATCTAAAATGCAGCCTAAAAGAGTATGTGAATTGCAATTGATGCGCATTTTGGCTATGTTCCAGTTCGGAAACTGTGGTTCGGTTGATCAGAATGGATTTGCAAGGAACAAAATTTGGACAATCGAGGATGATCCTCCTCCATTACATGCAAGTGATTCTCTTGGAAAATTCTTTGTTGACTTATTACTCAAACCAGCTGAAGAAGATCTCAAGTGCTGGCCTCATGGGTAAGTGCTTGCACCCTTTCTGATTTTATATTACTTGGAAGGATATTTACAAATATCTTTCAAAATTGGAGATAGCTCCTTGATAAACATCAAGGGTGTATTTGTTTTGGTAAATCTAACCTCCATGGCATACTTGTAATTTTGAAAGATGTCAATTTTGTTTTGTGGTGATTGCCGGAAGTAGTTTTTGTCACTATCCCTAATTTGGAACTGAATAATTGTGTGTTATTTAAAATTTAAAACTGAAAATGTTGGCCATACACTGCAGTAAGTGGAAAAATGATATTCTTCAATATAGCTTGAATTTTTACCCTCTTGCAATCGTATGCCTTTAGTCTAGTTGCTATTTTGGCAGTGTCCAAAATGAACTCCTCTTTTTTTTTTTTTTCCTGACAGCTTTGAATTTCGCCTTCGAGTCTCTCTGACATCAGATGGGAACTTGATATTAATATCTCGCATCAGGAACATAAATGGGAAACCTTTCAGTTTCTCGTTTGGTTATCACACTCATTTTTCTGTTTCTGACATAAGGTGAATTTTCCAACTCAAGATCTCCCATTCTTTGAGTAGTTAAATTTCTACAATGGAATTGTTACTCAATGCATAATGAATTCCGTTGAATAAAAATTGACGAGGCAATTAATTATGTGGTTTCTTATGTTAAGTCTTTCTGTTTGGTGGTTTTGGGTACACTAATCCGTTTTCCGATGTTTGTGTGATATTTTTAACAGTGAAGTGAGGATAGAAGGTTTAGAAACTCTTGATTACCTTGACAATCTCTGCCAGAAGGAACGTTTTACAGAGCAAGGTGATGCCATTACATTTGAAACCGAGGTAAAGCTTGTCCATTCAGATGGATTTAAGTACACCTTATTTACTCTATTTTCAAGAATTTACCATTTCTAAATTTAGTTTGAAATGAAAATGTCTTGTCACCATATTCCTTTCCCTACCTTTTCTTATATCCAGAGCTCATTTTCTCTATTATGTTGTGTAATCAACTTTCTGCTGTGTTTTAATAAATTTATTTTATGTTTTAATTCTTGTTATTTTGTGGGTTTGCAGGTAGATCGTGTTTATCTAAGCTCGCCACATTGTGTTGCTGTTCTGGATCACGAGAGGAAGCGAACATATGTAATGAGAAAGGAAGGGCTACCAGATATTGGTAAATTTATAAGAAAATACTAGTATGAGTCCCGTGCACTGCACGGGTAAGAGATATTCATTAATATTTATAAATTAAAATTTTTTTATTAAATAATATTTGTAAATTAAAAATATAGAATCAAATACCTATATTAATTTGTTGAAAATATTATATAAAGTTTAAATTGTGAAAAATTACATAAAAATGTCTATTTAAAATTAGTACACAACTCATGCGATACATATAACTGTTAATAAATTACATTATATTCGTTTCAAAATAAGTTTCATTTCAAATTTTTTATTCAGAAATTCGATTTGACTATAATGTGATTACATAAAATAATTATTTTGGTAAAATTTTATCATATATTTAACAACATATGTGAATAATAATTATAAATATAAAACTTATATTGTTTCATTACTTAAAATAATTTATTTTTGTATAAACTATTCAAATAAAAAAAAATTAAGTAGTTGAGTAATTTATTGAACTATAAATAATTGACTATTTCATTCACGTCCAAGTTAATATTGACCCGTAAGTTATGAATAATTGTTTTTTTTTTTATTTTTAATTTTAAATAAAAATATTTTTATTTTTTTATATATTATATACCAAATTTAAACTATGCAACTAATAAAGGTAATAGCTGCAAGTTTTGTCAATATATTATATTTCACATTTAAATTATTCAACAAATAAAGGTAATAGCCGCAATATTTGACCAAAATAATTTTGTACATTAATTACATTAACTTAGGCAGGATTTTTCAAACTTTGGCAAGAAAAAAGAATTGCCCAATTTAGTAATTCTGAATTTTTAGGCGGGAAAACCAAATATTTTTTTATTGATTTTTAGTTACTATTTCAAGTAAATATCATTGTCTTTTTATATATTAATAGATGTCATATTTTTGTAGCGTGCTATGCCACGGGATTTCACGATTTGTTGATTATTAGATATTTAATGATAAATTGTTTGAATCAAATAATTTGTTGACATTAACGTGAAAAAAAAATATTATTTAGTAGTAAATTTAAATTTATATCATTCATGATATTAAATATTCAATATTTTATTTTATGTTTATATTAAGTACATATTACTTAGGTCACATAATTTCATAATTTTTAATTACTTATTTTGATTAATAATCAAATAATTTATTTCTTTTTCTTTTGAAAATCTAAGGACTCTTTTTTTTTTCTAAAATAATATATAATTGGATGTGATTTACTTGCCAAACATTGGATGTGATTTATTGGTTAATAAATTATTTAAGCGGGACATGCAAAAAATTTCAAAAATATTTGCTGAAAATTGTTCAAAACAAAAAATAGAAGCGGGAAAGAATGACTAAAGAAGCGGGAAATGAAATATTTTTTTCAAAGTTTTTCAAATAGTTTTTCTTCTCCTTATTATATAGTAATAGATATGAAATGCTTTAATTTTAACTTTGTGGAAATTACAAAAATAAGTGTCTGTCATCAACTTCTTTAAAAGAAGTTTCAAACTGTTTTGAAACTCAAGGTGCAACATATAAAATATAATTAGACTCTGACATCAATTTGTCCTTTTTCCAAATAATAAATTTTATCTTTTTCTTGTGTAGTTGTTTGGAACCCATGGGAGAAAAAATCGAAAGCAATGGCAGATTTTGGCGATGAAGAATACAAACAGATGCTTTGTGTAAATGCAGCAGCATTAGAAAAGAACATAACTTTGAAGCCTGGAGAGGAATGGACGGGCAAAGTCGAGCTTGCAGCTGTGCCCTCGAGCTTTTGCTGTGATAATCTCGATCCACATTTGAAGTTCTTCTAAATGCCTATATATATTACATTTAAATCATCTGATTATTTTAAAGCCTGTGGTTTTTGGAGATGGCTGCTGCTGATTTTTAGATTCTTACTTTGTTTTTTCTCTCTTTCTTTTGGAGATGGCTGTTATCTTTACTATATTTTGCCTGTGATGATTTTGCGGAGGCTTGATAAGGGGTATGTATGAAATAGCAAATCTTTGAAGGCAGTGCACTTTGTTTTTATGTGAAAATAATATTTATGTTTAATTGCGGAGGAACCACATTGGTCTAAATAATAATATATATGTTTAATTGCGGAGAAGCCCCATTGGTCTAAATAATCTTTGAAGGTTGTATGAATATACTAAATCTATATGATGTTGGTGAGCCGACGGACGGAGATTCAAACAAAGGGAGAAAACAATAAGGAAATTGATTTTGGCATTAATTGAAAATATTATTTACTTATCATATTTGTGTTTCTTGAAATAGGTATTATGGAATTAATGCTCGAAGTGAAAGGGAAGATCTTCTCATCTCAACTTTCTATATTTTAGTTATTCTCCTATTATGTTTTTGGATTTAATTATCTTCCTTTAGCTTGTAGGTAAAGAAAATATATTAGATTCATTAGGAGATTTTATATATATTCTCTTTCCTTATTTTGATATTATCTTACTATATTTTATGGGTAGGTATTTAATTGTCTTTTCTTACTTGTAGGAAAAGGAAGAGCAATGTTGATAAAAAGAAGATATTCTTGTGAGATTTGAGAGCTGAAATCTTGAGGAAGAGAGCTGGAAATCCGAGCAAGAAAAGGAAAGAAATCGGGCAAGAATATATTTTCAAGGTTCGCATGGAAATAAGGAAAGAAAGTTCACAAGATTGAAGAGATATATATATATATATATATATATATATATAGAGAGAGAGAGAGAGAGAGAGAGAGAGAGAGAGAGAGAGAGAGACGATTAAATCTGGAAGAATTTGGGCAAGATATTCGTGCATGAAGACTTATGAGGCATGACAATTTAGTTTCCAAAGCTGAACGAGAAGATAGAGTAAATTTGAAAACTCCAGATTTCTGATGAACCTGCATACCGTATATAGTTGTATATATATTAGTTTGACGAGTTCTAGAAGATAGGGAACCATTCCATTATTCATTCAAAGAGTTTAGAGTTTTATTCATTCAGAGCTCGTGTGTTTTAGTTTAGATTTATAGAGTGATCGGAAAGGTTCATCGCTGGTAATTCGAGCTGTGAGTTTTGTTTCCGTTTTTATTTTCTACTTGGTGCTTGAGACGAGCATCTTCATACTGCTTGTAGGGATCCATACATGCAACGTAAGTCCAATCTATGGCAAGAAAAGTAGTTAGGTAGGTGGGGTACAAAGTAGGTTAGCTTAGAGGGAGTCTATGCGTGTAAATCCTATTTGTACGTGTTGGCCAAACACTTGCTTAATGAAGGTTCGTTTTTATTTATTCGCTTCCGCAAATTTACATGAACTTACATTGATTTAAGTATAAGCGCGAATTGTGTATTCCCCTAAAATTTCAATTGGCACCAGAGCGGGTTTTTGTTTCAATTACGAAGATCTTGTGGCCTGTGACTTGGCTACCATGAATTACGATGGTGGATCTATGTCCCGACGCCCGCAGCTTGTTGGGTTGAACTATCCCTAGGAAATCGATGATGACCATCTTTTTGCTTTCACTGGGAAAAGGCGTGTAGGAAAGTATTGAGAACGGGTGAAAACATCCGATGATGAAGAGAGCCTTGGAGAGGCGATGTCGATGGATCGTCCGATGAAGTGCTCAAATCACGCGACATATGGACTGACATGGAAATAATGCAAGAAGAGGCTAACTTTTGAGCCTTGTATGCCATTCTAATGCCAGTTGATCAGACTCGACACAAGATGATCGTCCAATGCACCACTGCAAAGGACGCATGGCGTATTTTGGAACATCACTTCCGAATGCGGTAAAATTCCCCAAGCTTCAACGTATAACTTTGGCCTTTGATGACATAAGGATGAAGGAGGCTGAGACCATCGATATGTATTACTCGAGGTTTTGTGACCTCATGAATCAAATTGCAATGTTGAGTAAAGACATCTCAGAAACCTGACAAGTTCAAAAGATCATGAGGACACTTCCGACTCGTTTTCATGAAAAAATCACCGCGCTTGAAAGTTTTCAACGAGTCAAGCCTCTAGATCTTGACGAACTTCTTGGTGACCTTCGAACATTCGAGATCAACAATGATTACGACAAGGTGAAGAATAAGGGATTGACTTTGAAAACTATTGCTCCGTCTCAAAGTGCAGACAACGATGGGGATGAAGGTTCATTGGAAGAGGATGTTGAATTTAATAAGGCCTTTGCACTAATTGCCAGCCGCATGCGTCAGAAGCTGTACAAGGCAAATTTCAAGGGAAAAAGGCGACGAATTTCAGCAATGCTCCTTCGGCTTGCTATGTTTGTTATTAGTATCCATCGGCTTTGAGTTAATGTTAATTGAGTTTCATTTGGCAATTTAGTGACTTGTGATGTTCGTTCGTGTTGGGACCTTATGGACACTATGCAAGACATATTTTTTAACTCCCATGTATTTAGAAGTGGTGTGGACTTTGTTATTGTGTTACTTTAGTTGCAGGCCAAATTTAGAGGGGTACATTATAACGGTAATTTTTTAAGGTGGTTTNACCCTCTGAACTTTTTTGTTTGTTAATTTGACTTTTGAGTTTAGTTTTTTCGTCATCATAAAATAGCGTGAATTAACCACATTTGCAAACTCAAAATTTTTAAAAATTTTAGGGGATTTTGAAGATAATAAACAGAGTAAAATAATTTGTTGATTTTACATATTGGTGAACTAATGTACCCTTCACGGTATATAGTAGGTCCATGAATGAATTATATTGGTAAATTGGTGAATCAATTTAATGTATTTTAACTTTCATTTTCTTTTTCATTTTTACTTTATTTTTCCATGCTAATGTATTTTGGTGCATTCCTACAAAATTTCTTTACCAAACATACTTGATTGAAAATTTTAATAAAATTAAACTATGAGAGAATTTTTAGACAGCATAAAGTACTCATTAGGGAATTGTTGGACAAAAATGCCATTGTTGAAGATGTTCGGACTCAAACCTAATGACATAATCACATTAACAGAGTTAAAATTTATTGTTTATTATACTGCAACTTTAGCACTAATCTATTGTATGGCTAGAACTAAGGAATTATTTTAAATTGTTTTGTAATGAATATTAATATTACTAATCTATTGAATGGCTAGAACTAAGAAATTATTTTAAATTGTTTTGTAATGAATATTAATATTGTCTGAAGTTTAACTTTGACTATGGATTGGGGCATTTGAAGTAAAATAAAATTCAACTTAATGCTTTAATAATATTTATCGGTGTCAATAATGTTTTCAAATGACAGTAGTTGTCGTTATTTTTGTTATGCACTACAAGAACAAATAATAGCAAGATAATTATATATCTTTACTTATATAAAGAGTCATTCCATTTACTAGAATTAATAGGAAGGAAAGTCAAAGGTAATTAATGCATTCTATTTTCATCAATTAATTTTTATTTGATTGTTTTTTCCTATATAGATATTGATTTACGTAAATCAATACATCTAATATTTATAGTTTGTGTAGATTTAAAGTTTCTTCCTATCTTTGTACAAAAAATCTTATCTAATTGTATGGAAAATCTGATCTGATTTGTTCCTCTACATATAATGTGATTTCCGTATAACAAGATTTTTTCTTAAAAATTTTAACAGATATTGAATATTACTAGAATGTAGCGACATGCATGGTAATTAAAATTGTGCATTAAATAATATTTATAAATTAAAAATATAGAATTAATATGTAAAAAAATTTACATATATTAATTTTTTGAAAATGTTATATAAAATTTAAATTGTTCTAAAAATCCTATTCCTAAAATGAATATTACTCCTTCTGATCTTAGGGTTCCATTTAAGTTCCGGCGGCAATTCCCACTTATGGTTTCGTATGCCATGACCATAAACAAGAGTCAGGGACAGTCTTTATCGCACGTTGGTCTTTTTCTAAAGAAACCTGTCTGTAGTCATGACTAATTATATGTTGTTGTTTCGCGTGTAACTAATAGAAAGGGGTTGAAGATATTAGTTTGTGAGAATAAAGAGTTGTCCAATAGTCAAACTCATAATGTTGTGTACATGGAGGTTTTTCAATAAATGATTGTTTAGTTGTCTAATATTATCTTATTGTACAATTTTCCTACGTCTTATAATATAATATTTCCGAAATAAATATATCACGTGTCTCGCACTGGTCACGTACTATATATATACCGTATATTTTTCTTTATTCATGTATATAATAATTATAAGTCTGGATAAATAGCCTTAAAACTGTGCACCTCGTACATCGCACGGGTTCTGCACTAGTTAAGGTTAATGTACAATCAACAACATACTTTGGCAACATAACATATAATATAATACAATTATAAATTAATTAATTACTTAATTATAACAAAAATTGAACCGGTTTTGTAAAAAAAAAATTATATTAAAACCTCAACAATTTGAACACAAAATTCCTCTGAATATAAAGTAAAAGAAAAACTACGAACGAAAATAAAAATAAAAAAAGAGTTCCAACTGGTTGGTGAGAGTGAAGCAAGAAGATTTCATCCCCGTTTTTTGAGAGAGAAGCTCGATCCTTCGAGTTAAAAACTTTTGTCGGTGTATATTTCCATTAATATTCACTAAACCCCCATAATTCACAAACCACAATATATTTCACTCACCCTAATTAGTGATTTATTCGGTTTTGATGAGAAATCTGAATTATTCATTTAACTTGCAGAGCTTTGGACAGACTGCGAAGGTCCACTGGTGCTAGCAGAGTTATTGTAATCCACCGGTAATTTTTTACATGTCTTTCATATATATATGTATATATAAATAAATAAATCCCCAATTTTCTATATTCTTGGAGAGAGAGAGACGAATAGAGAATCGCACAAAATTATAATTAATCGGAATTTATTCGGGTAAAAGATGAAGCAGCAGCGAAAAGAAACTAAAGCCAACATGTGATGAAACTAATTGAGTAATTTTGGGTCGAAAATTTGAAATAAATAATTTTTCAAAAAAAAAAAAAAAGATAATAATAATTTGGTGTTATTTTTGGTTCGCGAAGACCTCTATACCAGAATCGATAAGCACCAAGAAATATTAACTACATGCGAATGATCTTTGTAACTTGTTTGTTACCAAACCAACAATTGCCGTACTTTGCGGGGAAAGGTTTCGTTATTTTTGTGTGCGTGTAAGTTTTTGTTTCAGCAGAACTGTCTAGGGTAAGATTTGTTTTTTTTTTTTTCATCTGTATTTATTTAATTTTCTTGAACAAAACATAACAAATGTATATATTTGTTAATGTGCAGGAAAGATATGGCAGAGCATGTTTTGAGTTTGGACCAAGAAAACAAGCATGAGATCAACAATGGACTGGAAAAACAAGAAATCAACGAGGACAGCCCGAATTTGGACAACACATTTCCTTTTGCTGGGCTCAATCTCTTCTTAATCTTGTCCTTCCTCTCGCTATCATCTGAAGAATGTTTGAATTTGGACGAGAAAATCCAAGAGACAAAAGTACAAGATCTTGAGCACAAATCGAAACCCGGGTCTTGTTTTGTGCCGAGAAGGCGAGAAATCAGCCACATTCAAGCTGTCGGTAGGCAATCGTCAAAGGTGAACACAAAGATCAGGGACTTCAGGTAAATCTTGTTTTTTTTTTTTGGCTCCCCATAATAATTGACTTGTAATATTTCCTTGAATAGATTAAAAGAAACATGACACTCTTGAAATGAATTTTATTCATGTCATGGATTTATATTGGTATAATATAATTTTGTGCAGGCACTGTAGAAGAATGTGAATTGTGTATCGAAGAGGAAAGCATGGATCATTCATCTAATCATTGCCTGAGAGTGAAAGAAATGCAGCTTAGTACACTCGATTATTGCATGTTTCTACCAGTAGAAACATACGATACAGATATTGTGAGATAGCTTAAAGAAGATGGAAAATGAGAGTCACTTTTAGTAAAGTAATTTACATCCATCTGTGTATAGCACAACACATTTACCAGAGTTAGTTCAGTTTTAAATTAGAAAAACGTTTTGCACCACTAGCTGGTGCTTGCTTATAAAAGGTCGTGTATGTAAGTGTCGAAACTATCTACTCTAATGCTCTAATGAATTATCGTTGAATTTAGGTAACAATAATTCTTATAATTAGGCAGTTATAACAAAATTTCTTATAACAAAATTTCTTATAAATAAGACAATCCCTGAAAATAATGCAATGGCCGTATACATGCATAAGCTACTTCTCAACAAGCAACCAAAAAAAGCTATTGTTTTTGCATTATTCCTCATTATTACTCATACGGAAGCATGTCTTCCGAGCAGCTAATTATAAACCAGCATAAAAACAGCCATGGCAAAACATGTACAGAGGTCCCCAAATTCAGTGGAAAATAGAATACTACGATTTATCTGTTCTCCTCTTGCTGCCCGCGAAAAAAAAAAGAAAGAAAAAAAAAATAAATCACATAGAATTGCACTAACAGTGACAGCTTGATAGGACATTCAGTCAGAAATTCTGATCTCAACGCCGAGCAACTCTTTCACTTGTTCGTACGTTACGAAAGCAATAGCTATTGACGGGACAACCTGAATAAGGGGAAAAACACAAGGAACGCCAATCAGTACAAATAAACTCCAACATCAAAATAAATAAACTGCAATTTGTACACATATTAGAACTTTGCTCCCTTGAAGTCCCCTATCAATGATAATCTTTACATAATATGGCAAAGCATAAAAACCATAAAGAAACTAGGAAGGGAAATGTCCACAACATATGAAAAGAAAAAAAGAAAAGCCCCATGGTGTAGTGATTTGTGACCACCACCCTCTTCCAGATTGAGGGTGTGGGTGTGTTTGTAAAAGAAATGATTTGAGTGAATTAACTCAAAGTGAGTTTTTTTTTAGTTAACTAAAGTTAATTTAGAAAAAGTGGTATAATTAATTGTTAGTGGAATTTTGAGTTTATATTAAAATAATATTATAAATAAAATAAATAAAATTAGTTTGATGTAAAAGTATGAGAGAGATGATATGAAGTGATGATTAGTTAAAATTATGCGAGTGGATGAATAGTAAATTAAAGTTGATAAGAAGTGTAAAAATGATTGGTTGTTATTTTTATGATTGATTGTTATTATTTAACTATATTGATAATATTGAGGATAGTGGGGTTGAGTTAAAGTTGAGTTAGATTTTGAGTATGAATTAATTTGGTTTGAGATTTTTCTTTTACAAACATAGCCTGACATTTCGGCAAAAAATGCATTCATTTCGGTAATTTCTCAAAAAGAAAACAAAGAAGTGAATTGTAAAACAGAAACATAAGTCAAGTAGGTACCCAAAAGTTCAATAGAAAACCGAACAACTTGGAATAATACCAACTTCAAGGTTATATGATGCAATTAAATCAAACCAAGAAATATTACACACACACACACACATACACTAATATCAGATGCATAAAACAACTATACAGCACGAAACTAACCTTCACCGAATTCGGGACCAATCCCTTGTATAATGCCCTGAAGCCTTCGTGCCTTACGGTCTTCCTGAAAGCATCAACCATGCCAGTGTATTCAAGTGGGACCTTTCCTCTACCATCACCCGTCACAATTGATGCCGCATTATTCCAACCGACCATTTGCATTCTCCTTCGGATGACATCAAGCGGGTAAGCAACCGTCTGCCCAACTGTGCCTGCCGCGGCCCCACAGGCAAGCCTTGTCACAACACCCAACTCATTATCTTCAACAAGACCAAACGACTTGGATTTGATTAACCAATCTTTGAGAGATTCATATACGGCAAAGTTAAGACCCACGTAAGGTACCTGCAAAGAAATGAAAGAGCTTGTGTTAGTATTGCCGTGGACTTTCTTTTCATTTCTTTTACAGGAGTTTTCTAAATGACGAAAACTTTCCATAACATAGGCAAAATTGCATTTTTAGTCCTGCTGGTTTAACGTCATAGCATTTTTAGTCCCAAGATTTCAACTTTGTCTTTTGATCCTGTAATTTAGTATTTTGCTGCAATTTTAGTCTTTTGGGACTGAAATTGTAACAAAATTTAAAATTACAGGACTTAAATTGCTAATAACAAATCAATCCAAAACATTTCTTATTAGCAATTCAAGTCCTATAATTTTAAATTTTGTTGCATTTTCAGTCCCAAAGGACTGAAATTGCGTTGAATTTTAACATCATAGGACCAAATAGCAAAAATGTTCAATTCTTGGGACTAAAAACGCCACTGAATCAAACCAAATCAAACCAACAGGACTAAAATTGCAATTTTACCCATAAAGATATGGCCACAGGTTGTAAGATATATGAAATTTCTACAACTCACAACTCCAATCACTGATGGAAGCCAGCCCTTGTACAGAGCACGGAAGCCTTCCTCGCGAAGCACTGTGGATAAAGCATGGAACATTCCTCTGTACTGATACGGGGACCTATCTGTCTGCAGAAAATTGAGATGGTGATTAGGTCAACTAAGAGAGTAAAAGCTAGTTTCAGGAGGCCTGTAGTACCTGTACAGTAAGTCTTCCCCGAACCATGTCCATTGGGTATGTAGCTGACATGGCAATAATCCCAGCACAAGCTCCCGCTCCCAGACGTAATAAAGGAGTCAGCTGAGCATCTTCTACAAAACCAAAATGCAACGGAAAACAAAAGGAATAATCGATGACTCTAACAATCCAAGTGACAACTGATTACAAAAGAAAATTTCTAGGAAGTTTGTTTGTTGGAGAGAGGGCAGAAGAAACAAAAGGCATACCATTGCCAGTTTGTCGCTGGTACAAGTACAATATGCCCCTGTTACAACAACAAAAACGAAAAATAAAAAATGAAGAGAAGATGGAAATAAGGAGATTAACTAATTTAAAACAGCTGCCCAATGGTTTAAAATTGATCGAAGTGTTTCCACTGTGTATTTCACAGCTCATTGTGGAAAAATAAAAAATGATGCACACAAAAACATAAGGGGTAAAACAAATCAAGAAGTTTGCATTTTGTCAGACATGTTAAACAAAAGAGATAATTAACATGTTGTCATGAGCATTTGATGGTAATCGGATTTTAGGACCGTACTTAGATGCTTGCTCGTAGCTGAAGAACTTCACAGCCGAATTGGGAACAATACGGGCACAATTAGTGCCATTGCCTTTAAACAATCCCCTAAGGCCTTCAGTACTCCATATGTATTTCAAGCCTTGAACAGTACCACTGTACTTTATATTGTGTGGATTTTGCACCTGACACGCATGAGAACACCTTAGAATATTAGAGAGAGAGAAAGAGGGGGGGGAGAGGGGGAAAGGAGTCTGTAATATTCAAGGAAGATGATTTCTAAAATATTCATGCTTGTGAATGATGATCTTATCACAGGAAATAGTTAAAACTGTCCCATGCAACAATCGAGATCATAAGAAAAGCAATTTAAAGACAGACTCCGGAGTCAAATATTAAATTACTGTACAGATGTTCCTGAGCATCTGGGTAGCTTTCTTAATAGACACAGTGCTTTCAGATGAAACATAGAAAGTAGATGAAAATGAAAATTACTAACCTGGAGCAAAATTTTCAACCTCTCTAGTGGAGCTACAGCAGTTCGTGATCTGCGAGGATCACAAAGTTACTCTTAATAAGAAACCCAGTAGCGAAATATTAAATATTAGGGGTATTCAGTTTTACAAGCTACGAGCAGATATCCTCAATTGCTAATCAAACAAGAAAGTACCTTCATGCTACCTATGTATCCTCCTGAAATTACTAGTTCATTCTAGATAAAAACAACATTCTCAATAAATTCCTCAACAACATTCGTAGGCGCATTTGATCAATTGAAAAGTGTACAAGAATTTCTATTTTGATATCTCAAGCTTCCCTGCTCCACTCTCTCACCAAGAGATAATTTCATTGCTATAACATTTTCCACATGTGAATTCTATTTGGGGCATTTAATGTGATACTCAATTTCCAGCTATTCAGGGCAACACAAAGATTCATCAAACAAGAACCTCAATTAGAAAAACTAAAGAAAACAGGGGAAAAGGAAATATCAATTACATTTAAATTAACCATTTTCTTATTCGACATATCAATTGAGACAACACACCCGATTATCAGGGGGGAAATCACAATAAAATGATAGAGCAGATCATCCCGTAAGACCTTAATATTCAAAGAGGTTGTAAATACTTACACTCCTCCGGCGACACCGCCGGCGACGAGGGACTTGCAAATGCTGTAGACTTGATATTTCGAAGGCTTGATTTCCTCCTTCGCGAGCTTCGCCTCCTCAGCGAGATTCACAATCTTGGACACGGCCGACTCGCTCGTCTTCACATCCTCGGACGCCATCAAATCCCCCAAACTTCCCGAAATAAAATAGATAATTCAAACGATCTACTGAAAAATGGGGGAAAAAAACCCTAGGCCGTCGACGATCAAATCGAGGCGCTGTGAGTGTGTTTTGGAGGTGGGATAAGTGACGGCGTCTCGATTGTGAGAGTCCGGGAGCTGAGTGATAATTGTGCTTCCTCGCCATTTTAATATAGTCGAAAGAGGAAAAAGGTTATTGCGTGACTGACTTGTCACGTCCCTCTTTGACTGGTTGTACCTTGAGCTATATATATGATACTCCATTCGTAACATCAGAAGGTAAATTGAATCTAGGGACTTATAAATGAAATTACACTTCTCTATGAAAGTTGGTTAGTATTTGATAAAAATAAAAATAATAATGGTAGAAAAATTGATGACAATTTTATTGTATTTTGCCGAGTTAGTAAGGGCGTGCTTGTTTATGAAATATTTCATTCAAAATGAGTTATTTTAGTTAACTAGAGTTAATTTTGAAAAAGGTAGTATAGTTAATTGTTAGTGGGATATAAATGATTGGAAATGATTATTAATGATTTGATGTAAAAGTAGGATATAAATGATTGGAAATGATAGGTAGTTAAAATTATGTGAGTGGATGAATAGTGAATTAAAGTTGATGTGATATGTAAGAATGATTGGTTTATAATATTTAATTATATAAATAATATAAATGATAGTGGGGTTGAGTTAAAGTTGAGTTAGATTTTGAGTGGGAAATGAATTATTTCATAAACAAGCATGCCCTAATATTCGAAGGTATTTCCAAAATTAAGAACACTATTTTAGATTTTGGCTAAATGAAGTAAATGATAATTAGGAAATAAATTGAGGTTTGGTATAAATTTTACCTTTATTAAGCCATTGGTATTCTCCAATTAAATTTTCTTTTGAGTAAAGCGCAGATCAATCTTTCTCTCTCTTCTCTCGCCCAAATCAATTCGCCGTAAACCTAGACTTCGCCGCCGGCTTCTAAAGCCTCTCTCGGCGTCCATCCCGGTTGCCGGTAGACTGCCCACCGTCGTGCTACCAGTGCCGCCGCGGTGATACTCCCTCCTTTCTCTCTCTGGCCGTGGGGCGAAGATGGCGATTCCCGACAGATTTAGTCGATCCCGTCGATCTGTTTGGGAAGACCGCCGGAGCTCTAGGGCGGAGAGACTTGGAGGAGTGTGGCCAGTGGCTTGTAGCGGCTCGTCGTCTGCGTCGCCCCTGTTCAAGCTCCCCTTTCTCCAGCCATTGTTGACGGGCTCGGCGTCAGCTGTTCGCCGGCGGTTCGGGGCGGCGGGTGTGCTGTGGTTCGTCACTGGAGGTTGGATGAGGAGGTCGGATTCGAGCGTTGGTCGGAGCGATTTTCTTTCCTGGCTGGAAGGTCCACCCGATTGCGGGTCTTCGGTTTTCGCCGGAGCCTGGTCTCCGGTATCTCGGCTTAGCTGGGGTGTTGGGTCGGGTTCATCCTTGCGGGCTGGGTGGATGGGTGGTCGTTTGGGGCTGGGTTTGGTCCTTTGGGCGGAGTCGGCGCGGCTGAGCTCGGTTATCTGTCATCCCCTTCCTCCTCCTTCTCGATTTTGAGTCTGTGGGAGGTCGCCTGTCTCCAGATTTGGCTAGTGGTGTTAGGCAAATCTTGGAAGGCTGTGGATTGGCTAGTGGTGTTAGCCGATTGGGGGACGATTTTGATTTCTTGC